TTCAAACATCCTTATATAGGAACTCATGCAAAAATAATGTATCTTTCAACTTTTGTCTTAAAACCTAATCTATCTATCTACACAACGAAATACTCACCGCACTTGTAAGCTTGAGCTTCAATTTTTTTCAAATATTATGACATTCTTTTTAGTCTATAACTATTTTTTTTCTTGTTCTTGATATTAATATTACCATTTTGTTTTCTCTCTTTTCCATGTTTAGATTGAAGAAAATTTTAGCTGGAGGAATGTGAATGACGCCCTTCCCCGTGCCAAACGTCAACGTGATCGTAAGTATATACAAACTTTGGTTTTATATAATATATATTGTATAGAAAATATAAAGTGTGAGTTGCTTGTTGCTGGGTCTGGGCCTTTTCATGTGGATAGTGAATTTAAATTTTTGTTTCATTGTAGGAAAAGTTCTATTTGATGTGGTATTGATATTTGCTACTATGTTTTCTTAATGTGGTGTTGATATTTGTTGTAATGGGATATGTTTGATGTAATGGGATATGTTGCAATGTCATTGTTTAGATGTTACTTTGTAAAAATAAAAAAAAAAAGGCTTACTGAACACATATCTCTGTTTGGTTTCGTTAAACTCATTTTGAAAATTCATTAACTCAGTTAAGTATTGGAATTCTACCTTTTGATGTTTGTTTTTTCTTTTACTGTTGGTGCTGTCATCTCATTGTTTTGTTTTAGGGCTTACTGAACCTATTTTTTGGTTATTGAAAGTTCAGAATTTGGCTCAGTTTCAGTAGTCTCATTGTAAAAGCTGAATAATTCAGTTCGATATTGAAGTGCTATCTTTTGTTGTTCATGTTTTCTTTTATTGTTGGTGTTGTCGTCCAATTGCTTTGTTTTGTGTTTACTCCGTTAAAACAAAAAGTGGCTTATTGAACAATTTTTTTGGTAACCAAAACTTCGCTAATTGAACATACTTCGGTTCGATTTCGATAGCTTCATTTTGAAAACTGAATAATTTTGGTATAAGAATGCTATCTTTTGCTGTTCGTTTTTTATTTTGTTGTTGGTGTAGTTACACATAATTGGGTTGTGTTTTGGTTAAGGCATCATTTTAAAAACTGAATGCTAAATCCTTTCAAATAATTTATCTTACAAAATTGATACCTATTTCATATAAATTCTTACTTTGCAGCTATATGTTACATGTACGCCCATTTGAGTTTTATAGAGATAAAACTCAGGCAAGGCAGGTCGGGAGATTTTAAAGGGAGGGTCGGCTCACTATTGACATCCCATGTTATCGATTCATTCACGTCCTTTCAGGATTTCAATGCTGGCCCACAAGTTTATAATCCTCGGTTTCAGCAATTTCTGGAGGAAAATGGAGTGTGACATATGAGGACAAATATGGACCCGATTTGGCTTTGAATAATGAGAGGTACAAGAGGTTTGAGAAAAGGAGGGGAGCAAAAGTACAAGTTTCAGAAAGCACTTCTAGGTATTTTTATGCTCTCATTGATAATGAGTGGTTGAGGCGTCGACTACTCTCCTCCCCCCTCTTGAGTTCTATACCTGTCAGAGAAGACCTTTATGACAACGCCCACATTAATCTTGATTAATTAATTGTTTATTGCCACATCAGTTTGTAAAGCAAAGTTCTTTTTTCATTTAAAAAAGAGGAATCAAAATCAGAAAGAACGTAGCGAATATAAAATTGAGAGTTGATCAGATGGAATACACACCATCACCCTTCAATTTATTATTTAGGAAACTATTTGATAATTTTGGTAAGCTTAAATTTGATTAACCCTAAGTTGCCAAACCATACCAATTTAATTGATATTTATTCCAAACTTACATATAATATATGAACCAAATTGGAAAGTAAATAAAACATGAAGAACTTCCCTTTTTAGAGATTCCTAATGCTTTGTCGTAACATCTTCAAACATCCTTATATAGGAACTCATGCAAAAATAATGTATCTTTCAACTATTGTCTTAAAACCTAATCTATCTATCTACACAACGAAATACTCACCGCACTTGTAAGCTTGAGCTTCAATTTTTTTCAAATATTATGACATTCTTTTTAGTCTATAACTATTCTTTTTTTTTTCTTGTTCTTGATATTAATATTACCATTTTGTTTTCTCTCTTTTCCATGTTTAGATTGAAGAAAATTTTAGCTGTAGGAATGTGAATGACGCCCTTCCCCGTGCCAAACGTCAACGTGATCGTAAGTATATACAAACTTTGGTTTTATATAATATATATTGTATAGAAAATATAAAGTGTGAGTTGCATGTTGCTGGGTCTGGGCCTTTTCATGGGAATATTGAATTTCAATTTTTGTTTCATTGTAGGAAAAGTTCTATTTGATGTGGTATTGATATTTTCTACTATGTTTTCTTAATGTGGTGTTGATATTTGTTGTAATGGGATATGTTTGATGTAATGGGATATGTTGCAATGCCATTGTTTCGATGTTACTTTGTAAAAATAAAAAAAAAGGCTTACTGAACACATATCTCTGTTTGGTTTCGTTAAACTCATTTTGAAAATTCATTAACTCAGTTAGGTATTGGAATTCTACCTTTTGATGTTTGTTTTTTCTTTTATTGTTGGTGCTGTCATCTCATTGTTTTGTTTTAGGGCTTACTGAACCTATTTTTTGGTTATTGAAAGTTCAGAATTTGGCTCAAATTCAGTAGTCTCATTGTAAAAGCTGAATAATTCAGTTCGATATTGAAGTGCTATCTTTTGTTGTTCATGTTTTCTTTTATTGTTGGTGTTGTCGTCCAATATCTTTGTTTTGTGTTTACTCCGTTAAAACAAAAAGTGGCTTATTGAACAATTTTTTTGGTAACCAAAACTTCGCTAATTGAACATACTTCGGTTCGATTTCGATAGCTTCATTTTGAAAATTGAATAATTTTGGTATAAGAATGCTATCTTTTGCTGTTCGTTTTTTATTTTGTTGTTGGTGTAGTTACACATAATTGGGTTGTGTTTTGGTTAAGGCATCATTTTGAAAACTGAATGCTAAATCCTTTCAAATAATTTATCTTACAAAATTGATACCTATTTCATATAAATTCTTACTTTGCAGCTATATGTTACATGTACGCCCATTTGAGTTTTATAGAGATAAAACTCAGGCAAGGCAGGTCGGGAGATTTTCAAGGGAGGGTCGGCTCACTATCGACATCCCATGTTATTGATTCATTCACGTCTGTTCAGGATTTCAATGCTGGCCCACAAGTTTATAATCCTCGGTTTCGGCAATTTCTCGAGGAAAATGGGGTGACATATGATGACAAATATGGACCCGATTTGGCTTTGAATAATGAGAGGTTCAAGAGGTTTGAGAAAAGGAGGGGAGCAAAAGTACTAGTTTCAGAAAGCACTTCTAGGTATTTTTATGCTCTCATTGATAATGAGTAGTTGAGGCGTCGACTACTCTCCTCCCCCCTCTTGAGTTCTATACCTGTCAGAGAAGACCTTTATGACAACGCCCACATTAATTCTTGATTAATTAATTGTTTATTGCCACATCAGTTTGTAAAGCAAAGTTTTTTTTTTTCATTTAAAAAAGGGGAATCAAAATCAGAAAGAACGTAGCGAATATGAAAATTGAGAGTTGATCAGATGGAATACATACCATCACCCTTCAATTTATTATTTAGGGAACTATTTGATAATTTTGGTAAGCTTAAATTTGGTTAACCCCAAGTTGCCAAACCATACCAATTTAATTGATATTTATTCCAAACTTACATATAATATATGAACCAAATTGGAAAGTAAATAAAACATGAAGAACTTCCCTTTTTAGAGATTCCTAATGCTTTGTCGTAACATCTTCAAACATCCTTATATAGGAACTCATGCAAAAATAATGTATCTTTCAACTTTTGTCTTAAAACCTAATCTATCTATCTACACAACGATATACTCACCGCGCTTGTAAGCTTGAGCTTCAATTTTTTTCAAATATTATGACATTCTTTTTAGTCTATAACTATTTTTTTTTTCTTGTTCTTGATATTAATATTACCATTTTGTTTTCTCTCTTTTCCATGTTTAGATTGAAGAAAATTTTAGATGGTGGAATTTGAATGACGCCCTTCCCCGTGCCAAACGCCAACGTGATCGTAAGTATATACAAACTTTGGTTTTATATAATATATATATTGTATAGAAAATATGAAGTGTGAGTTGCTTGTTGCTGGGTCTGGGCCTTTTCATGTGGATA